GGGGGGCCGGGCATATTAAAGCGGGTCCAACATTATCAAGGAGGTTCAGGGCCAGTAGCACTGAACGAGTCCAGGTTCGAGGGTTTAGGGGGCAGGGCATATGGTTTGTAGGGTTTAATTCAGGTTTCGGGTTCGTCATGGCCCGTTTGGAATTGAGGGGTTGGGGCCTAGGGTTTAGCACATCTGTGTCTGCCCGCCATCGGATGTCTGTTTTGAATCCCGCATGCATTTAGCATTGTGCGCACCAAACTATTGCAGGTTTTGTGCTTTACACTCAGGATGTAGGCGGACACCCACGTGCTTCCCTCTGTTGGTTCTATGTTCGTAGGATGTTGGATGCATGGCAAAGTTTCCAAAGACCTGCGTTGATGACACTTGCACTTGCCAGGGCCCAGGACTTATAAGTTTCAAGGGAACTATTTACAAGAGCCCTAGGCCCGAAAGCCTAAACTCCCTAAACTTAAACCCAATGTAGGGAGCCCATGGGTTATTATGATGGCAACCGCAAGAACACCCTCCCAATACACCTTCATTATTTGCGGAGCACACCCTAAATGTGATTTGGGGCATCGGTATGGGTCTTCATTGCCTTCATCAAACAATTATGGGTTTTTTGGGCTCCCTCGGAACCCTCAACCCTAGGCCCTAAACCCTAAAACCTCCTACTCTAAAACCTAAAATCCATGAAGCCCCCGAAGCCTAAAATCCTTAAAGCTCAAAAGCCTGAACCCTAAAAACCTTAAAGCCCTAAAGCCCTTAAACCACATCCCTCGCGACCCCTAAACCAATTGCAACTCAAGACCAGCCTGCTGAGATATACTGGCCTTTTGACGGCCTTGGCGTCATGGACTACAGAAGCCGGCTTGGGGCTTAACCCTCAACCCTCAACCCTAAACCCCTAAACCCTAAAACATGTTGAAGTCTGGGGCTTGAAGCTTAAGATGTTTGAAGCTTTTGGACCTAGAATTTGTGTTTTGGGGAGTGACTAGGATGTTGAGGGTCGAGGGTTTAAGGTTTTTGGGGCTTCAGGCTTCAGGGGCTCTACGATATAAGACTCGGTCCAGACATGTTTATGATCCCTTTACCTAAAGAAACATATTCGGAATATAGGACAGTTATGTCGGAAGGGAAATGTTCATTGTTGGGATGGGGTGGGGTGGTTCAGCACTAGGGGAGAGAATTACGTTTGCCCTAAGGGTTTTCTTTTTGGTCCATCTTGTGGCTTGTAGGGTTGCAGGAGATGCTCCTAGAAATGCTGCAGAAACCTGGCGCGTGGGACTTTGAGCAGAAACTATGAACCCCAGCCCTAAAGGTTAGGGCTCTTGAAGTGGTTTAGGGTTTAGGGGTTTTGGGTTTTGGGTTAAGGTACACCCCATAAATCAGTCCTCATCTGCGAGTGATAGCTTTCACAATGCTTTCAGGACCCTGAACCCTAAACCCTAAATAGATCTCAGGGGTTTAGGGCTTAGGCAGCCCAGGGATCTAAATTTTGAGAAGGCCCTGCTTAACCCCAAACCAAACCAAACCCTAAATACCAAACTCTAAAGTGAGAAAGCCCTTAACCTGCCCACAGCCTAAGGCCTAAGCCCAAAAACTTACACCGTAAACCATAAAGCCTAAGCCCTAAACCCTACAAGCCTACCCCAGGAATGATCCATGCACAGGCTAGTCCATTGGATCAACTCTGCTGGTTTTCCCGGGTTTTCTCGAAATAAAGGGCGTCATAGAAATTATAGGGTCCCCCGTTTAGGTTTAGGGTTGTAGGGTTCAGGATAAAAATGAAGGGGATTGCTTGGAAAATTCGATGTAAATTTCTGAACAAGGTTTTTTTGTAAGGATAGTTGGCTTTATAGGGCGTCTGCTGGAGGTTCCATGCTACTTTGCGGAAGTGTGGCGATAATCCCCACACAGACGCCCAATTCCCGACATGTCCGATTCTAGTCCGAAGCACCCAATGCTAGGATTGTAGCTCTTGCTGGTGGTTGGAATCCTAAACCCTAAACCCTAAACCCTAAAGAGTTATATTCTTCTCATAAAGCCCTTAACCCTACGATATCCAAGAGGAGCATATCATCTTACTGCAGACCATAACATCTCAATTATCGGATGCTACCCGGGGTTTAGGGTTTAGAGGTTTAGGGCTTTAGGGTTTAAATAAGGGTTTGACAAGCCTCAACCTTACCCCATTTTGGCGAGAAACTCCCGTATATATGTATATATACTAGGTCAGACAAATACCCAGAACCCTCTGATCCCAAAACCTCAAGCCCAAATCAGCTGGAGCCTAGACTCCTAGTATCCCCCTTGATGACCCCTATAACGTTCCCCCATATAACCACCCTTTTAGGAGTTTAGACCTTAAACCCAAAAACCTTGTATTATCTCCCATTTCAGGAGTTTAGACTATGGCCCAGATAGCCACCTTTGATCCTCAGCCCTGGATGCAGAGCTTTGGACTTTGTAGTTCCCGGAAAGGAGAAAACATAAACTCGCAACCCTCTCAATCTTCAGCCCTAAGCTGTTTAAAGCTTTAAGGTTTAACCCCTCAACCCAGCACCCCTTCTCAATCTTCAGCCCTGAGCGGTTTCAGGGCTTAGGGTCTAGGGTTTACCTTCTCAATCTTCAGCCCTCAACCCCAGTGCCTACGTGAATTATCGAAACTGGACTTTAGTTTCTGTGGGAAATGTGAAAAAAATTGGGATTGCTCTGCACAAGGCGGATCCCGAAGCAAACCAGTATACTCCTCTAGGCTTACCTGGAAGCCGGAGAGGAGCCACAAGAACGACTGTCCTTTATAAACTTGGCGACAGATATAAGAATTGATCAACGTTCCTGTTTCTTTAAACCCTAGACCCTAAGCCCGCCATTTTGGAAAAGGATTTCTCTCACCTGCACGATTCCTGAACAATTTCCCCAAACCTTCACATCAACCTCCCACGTATGAGCTTTGTAGGGTGTAGGGTTTAAAGTCTCAACTTCTTAAAGGGTGTTCTGTAGGGGATTTTCTAGGGGAGTATTATAGGCTTATAAAGGGGGATCCTCAGAGTTTAGACAATGGCTCATACATCTCCGAATCCGTAAGCCCTTTTAACCACCATGGCCCCAGTGTCCATTGCATTTTCCAATTTCTTTTCCAGTTGATACTCCATGCTTGGGGCCCTAAGCCCCTAAACCCTAAACCCTGACCCTAAACCCTAACCCCAAACCCCTAAAACCTAAGCCCTAACCCCTAAACCCTAAACCCTGACCCCACAATCCTAACCCCTCAACCCTAAACCCTAACCCCTAAACCCTATACCAAACCGAAAGAACCTTTATTTGGTTAGGGAGCATAAAAACTTAACACCAGATCTGGGGTCCGCACTCTCAGGCCTACGAACTCCAGGGGCAAGATGTACACCCTTGTTCAAGCAAATTGAGCTACCATAATGCGTATATGTACATATATATATATATACATAGTAATTAGTATGGCCTCCCCAATATACACCCTTGTTCAAGCAAGGGGATTTGAGTTGTTTAGGCCTTGGGACTTAGGGTTTAGAGCTTAGGATTTGGGACTCATGGTTATATGTACATATGTGTGTGGGCGACCTATATTATATATATATACATGTTCCTCATGTAAAGTTGAGGGTTGATAATATGGGGGTTTTAATTTCCCCAACCCCCAAATCAGGGCCTCCTATGATTTTCATATGACTGTTACAAGGTCCTCACCATAGGTGATGGGGTCAGGCAAATCCTCTTACTACTGCTTATGGGGGTACCTGGACCTTCCAACGTAGCGCAGCCCTAAGCCCTAAACCCTGAACCCCTAAACCTTGAACCCTAAACCTAAACCGCCCAAACAGTGCCTCGGGACACAGGATTTGCTCTTGGAGTTCCCCAACCCTCCAACTCAGTGGCCCCCTATGACCATCATATTAGAGCTATAGTCTACACTCCTAGTATCCCCCTTAATAGACCCTATAGTGGAGAATCAAATGGAAAAGAAAACGGAACATGAAATGGAAACTGGGATTATGTTGGTTATTATAAGGGTTATAGTCTACACTCCCAGTATCCCCCATAATCACCCGTATAATATTCCCCTTTAGAATCCCCTGTGAGGAGTTTAGCCTAATTGCAGCTCCTATGACGTTTACAGGATTTGGTCCAGAGTTTGTGGTGCTGAGAATTTCTTTCCTCTCACCGGTGACCGAAGGGAGCAGATCCTCGCGGTGAGGGTTCATGGTTTAAGGTGACCACTGGATATATGATCCCGAAATATTACACCCTATTCCCCCTTGAGTAGATAGAATATGGCTTTGGGTATATTAAAATAAGATGCGCATATACCCCACATTCTATCTACTTAAGGGGGACTATAAACCCTAAACCCTAAACCTTAAGGGGGAATGCATGTTCACAGCCCGTTTCACTTCAGTAAGTTCTTAGTATATTTAGAGATCAGCGCTTGACCTTCCTGCATCAACTTACCGAAGCTGTGCTCAAAAATCGTAAGACCTCAAAGGGTTTATATAGGGTTTAAGGTTTAGGGTTAGGGTCAAGGGTTATAGGGTTTAGGGGCTCATCGGACCTAGACTCAAACGAGCTCAAAATCAGGAAGTACCAGGCTTTAAGACTTCAGGGTCTGGCGCTTGGGGTGCTTTAGGGTGTGCCGTTACTCTAAACCCTATACCCTAAACCCGTTATACTGCTAATGAAAGAAAATCCTGCACTAACTTGATCCCCTTGTACATGGCAATTACAGGACTTCCTCCATCGTTAAACCCTCAACCCTAAACTCTTAAGTCCTTAAACCCTTAAACCCTTAAGGCCGAAATTCTAAACCCGAAAGTAGGGCCGTTTTGAACTGCACAAGGCGGGCATACCCAAGGCAAGTGCTGAGCTTCAAGGAGGGAGAGTGCTGTCCCTACACTGTGCCCACGCCACGGGACTAATCTGGAGTCCATACATGGCACGGTTCACATCCCAATATGCCTCCTGACACAGGCCAAGCCTTCGCCAGAGTCCAGGAGTCTTTATAATGACCCTGCCCTGTCCCAAGTCAGCCTCCTGACGCTCGGCATTAAGGAACGCAGTCTTAATGTCCACTCCCCCGGCTGTCCAGTCCCGCTGTAGGTTAGGCAATATCTCAACGACAGTACATCAAGACCGCCAGCATATACCTGATTTCATTCGGCATGTGATTGCCGCAGCCAACACATCTGACCTTCCGACTGGCGGTGAAGGCCTTTGTTGTGAATACCAGCTTCGCGGGTATCACTTGCATCTTTTCTCCTGCTGCCTCCCTTCTCGACGAGGAAGAGAAGCTTTCTACGGCATTGATTTCGGACACAACAGGTGGGGTTGACAGTGCTGATGCTACAAAGATCCTGCGTGACTTACGTGCCTCATACCGTAAACCCTGAACCCTTATGGCATTTTGAGGTCACGCAGGATGTTTGGATCAACCATGCTCTGTATGAGGCTCGCTGGTCGTAGCCACTTTCACGCATCTTACTGGCATCTTGTAGGGCATGAGGGAATGGATCCCTTCTGGGGTCACTGCTTCATGATTTTGAGTAGTCCCTACAACCGCGAGCTCCAAACCTTAAACACGCTTTTTCACGTCCTACTGTCCCCTAGACTCCTAGACCCTAAACCCTAAACCCAAACACCCTAGACCCTGAACCCTAACACCCTAAACCCTGTCACCCTAACAACCTAAGCGCCAAGCCGCCAGTGGGCCATCAAACTTGTAAGATGACTTTGCACTCGAGCTTCCCTCAACGCCCACATACAACCCAGGGCCAGTTTAGAGGAGGGGGAGACCAGGAGGCTCTTTTGCGGGGGTTTAGGGTTTTAGGGTTTGGGGGTTCGGGGTTTTAGGGATGGCTATTATTATGGGCTTAGGGCTATTATCTTTTTCTACTTCTGGGGCTTCGGTAGTTCTAACCCTATGAAGGGACTGCTTTATGGTGACCGATATTTGCCCCTGCTTTCATGGCCCTATCTGAGGTGTAACGTTTTATCAAGGATGCAAAGGTTTCAGCTCAAGATCTACAACCCCTCCCTTACTCGAACGAGGCCATTTCTTACTTCTAGTAGGCTCCAGTCGGACATCTGCAGCTTGTATACGCCCTAAACCCAAACCCTAAAATATGTAGAATCATGCCCTTTTGTCCTATTTTTGGTGGTTTGGAGCTATTATTTTACTTGTTCTGGGGTGCAGGTAGACGTAAGCACGAACCCTAAGCCCGAATCCCATACTCCAAAACCTTCACACCCTAAACCCCAAAATCCTAAAACTCTGAAAGACTACAAAACCCTCGAAGACCTTAAGTCCACAAACCCCGAAAGCCTTAGATTAAACTTCAATCCTGAACACCCCCCACTCCCTAAACCCTAAACCCTAAACCCTCCCTGAGGCTTCAACAACCCAAGTACCAAGGTCAGCAGGTGTCCCCGAAAGGCCGTCCTGAGTCTCGAGTCCCCTTTTAGAGGTCATATAAAGGAGCTATATCTGTAAAGGTTATATAAAGGAACTATATAAGGGTTTCCTTTTACAAGTTTTATAAAGGAACTATACAAGGGTTCAGGATTTAGGGTTTAGGTTGAAAGGTCCTAGTATCCCCCTTAATAACCCCTCTGGTAGAACCCTATTCAACCCACCTCTAATTAAGGATTTAGACTATGGCTCATATGGGTTCATGTAGGATTTAGCATATAGGGCTTCTATAGGGATTGTATATGTGGAGTATAGGGGATTACACCAGGATTATGTAAGTCGATATAGGGAGCTAAGCCTCCCCGAAATCTGTTTAAACCCCACAAATAGGGTTTAGGGTGTAGGGCTTACACAGAACCATCAAATCAAAGACAAAACCGAGGAACACCAAGTTCCCACACCCTGAAGCTACACAGCCCGCGAAATCTCAAAGCAGCGCTGTAGAAGCCAGAATAATTAATCATTCTCCTATCATTATAACCATATTACTAACTATAGTATAGTATCGTAAGCTTAAGGACTCGATTCCAATTAGCCAGGCCCCTACCCCCAAATCCGACCAAACCCGAAGTGCAAAGGCAAGCACGCTGCTGGGCGGCGCGGCCGGGAGCTAAGGGAGTCAGAAGCAAATCTTCAAAGGCTTGACGAGACATGGCGTGAAGCTTTCGTCTTCAGGCTTGTACAAAACACCAATCAAAGAACCCTAAACCCTAAGCCCGCAACCGTAACCGGCCCTGCAAGCAGGACGGTCGGGCTGCCGACAGAAAAATGTGGCTTCAGTCAGCTTCTGGCGGACGTTTACGCTCCACGGGATATTGTCTATATTGGGTTTATACTTCGTTTGTATTGGGGTTATATAAGGGCTATATTGGATTTATGCTGGGGTTATATTAGGGTTATGTTGGGGTTATATTGGGTTTATGTTGGGGTTATATTGGGCTCATGTTGGAGTTATATTGGGTTTATATTGGGGGTATATATTGAGTTCATATTGAGGTTATATTGGGTTTATAGTATAGGGTTATATTGGGTTATCTTAGGGGTATATTCGGTTTATATAATCGTTATATTGGATTTTATTCGGTTTACATTGGGTTTACATTGGGATAATATTGGGTTTTTATCCTTCTCTTCCTCGGCCAGAGCCAGCTTTTCCTGGCGGTGTTCCGGCTGCTCCTCTGCGTGCACTGGAAATCTCCTCAGGGTTTGGGGTTTAAGGGTCTAAGAATTTAGGGTTTAAGGGTTTAGGCTTTAGCCGAAGAGCTTTTTTTCTGGCCCTAAACCCCAAACCTGAATTCCTAGATCCTAAACCCTGAACCCTACACCCCAAACCGCTTATCCTGAATCCTAAACCCGGAACCCTAAGCCCCAAACCCTAACTCCTACACCCTGAACCCTAAAACCCAAACGGTAAATTCTGAATCCTAAGCCCTGAGCCCAAATCCCTAAACCCCTAATCCCTAAATCTTGAACCTTGAACCTTTGACCCTAAACCCTGAACCCTAAACCCCAAACTCTAAAACTTAAGCCTTGAACCTTTAATCCTAAACCCCAAATCCCAGCCGAGGAGCTTTTGCGGGTCCAGCGACTGCAGCAAAGGAGCCAGAGTCCCGGCAAGGCGTCCCCGCAGAAAATATAGCCTCGTCTTGAAAGGCTTTAGGGTTTAGGGTTT